GCGGTGCTGCTGTTCCCAGGGGGTGCCAGGGAAGCCACCCATGGGCCCACCGAGAAGTGACCCACGAAGCAGAGGAGGCTTCACCACCTTGGCTTATCCCCACTGCGAAGTAACTCACTCCCTGAGTTCCTGGACTTTAGTCACCTTTTGGGAAAACCAGTGCGGCAAATAAACAATTTGGACTTTTTTTTGGTTCATTTACTTAGGAGAATTCATGGGTAAGCCCAATGAATATTCCTCCTATGGTCACCCTTCTGGCTTATTAACGAAGAGTGGAGGGCCCACGTTTTGGGGCCAGTTCGGTTGAGAATCGGGGAAATGAGACCAATCACCTGGAGGCGTCCGATTTCTGGCAGCATCGAGTGGGGCCAAGCTGCATGCTTCAGGTACAAGCTCTTTTGGCCTTCGCAGACGGACTTTGTGCCCCGCTCTCAGCCGAATGAGGCAAAGTTGCAGGTTGTTTCCCATCCATGGCTCATCCCTGCTTTGAAGACATGGTATTACTACCCTCTGTAGTATCAATGTAGGACAGGCATGTTCTTTTGGTCCACTGCACAACGGGTCTGCTGAGCACATTGCTGCACGAGATTAGTAGTAACAGCGATATTGTTTGTGGGCATACTTGCAGGCATGGCACATGTTCTAAAGTCAGGACGGTTGTTACAGCAGCCCTTGAGGAGGAGACATTTGTTTGTCAACTGGCCACAGGCTGAAGGGTATTTTTTCTCACTCCCCTTGACGGTAGTGGATTTGGGCTCAGGGACAGAATCCTGAATGCAGGGATCATGTGAGCGTTGGTGTTTATTCCCTATAAACTTGATTGGACACTATTCAACATTCAGCGGACCCTTCCGCATCCTTGCCGCAGGCCAAGAGGTCCCTTCCGCGGACTTGCGCGGCACATATTTTTCAGCGTTTGCTTCCTCAAACCTTCCGCGGCGCATGTTTCACAAGACTTGCTTCCACAAGTGGCGCAGAAAGGGAATTCAGTTTAAGTAAGCAAGGAAAGTACTGTTCCGCCTGTGTTGGTGCAGCCTTGGTGGGCTTGTACTCAGGCGCTCATTCTTATTGCAGTTTATCGTCGGTTGGCTGGCGGATGGCGACTTGTACTGAGGCGCCTAGCGGCCCGTTTCAACGCCGTGGTCGTGCCCTTTGGGAGCATCGGCAGTGCAGACAACGCGCGGAGCCCATATGTCCCCATGCTGCAGGTTTCGCAGTGCGGCACAGGCAGTCAATGATGTGCCAGACTTGTTCAAACCCAACTTCAAACTGCAGATTTGATATCATTGTTCGGTTTGACTGAAACCTGAAACAATCATGCTTTGACCATGAGTTCTGAACCAGCAGGTACCCAGGCACTCCGCTGAACAATCGCCGAAATCCCAAAAGCACACATTAGTAGTGGAATTCCCTTTTGCATGCTGGGAGTTCCATGGCAATTAGTCTTCACGGGGGTAAAATGGATTTTGGTCTCTTCGGTCGTCAGAGCTACGCGTACACATGTTTGGGATTCGTTTGGTGAATCTCATGAAGTCAGCACCGAGTAAGTAAGCTGATGCTGCACTGGGGGATGCGCAGGGTGAAAGCAATATGATTTGGCGATGCACCCCTGTGATTTTGGTTTGGGCTCGCTTCACAAGCCATTTTGCCAAGGTGCGGGTCGCCGAGAGGAAGCAGGCAGCAACGGGCAGACTCAGGGAGTAGACATTGAGACATTGAGCGTTTGATATTAAAGAACCCTTTGGTGGTTTTACACATCACCGGTTTGTCCCATTTGAGGTGACCTTCCCTCACGGGTGATGGGTGGGAAAAACAATGTGACCTTGATTGTGAGATGTTCTTGAGGTCCTTGCCTTGTTGCTGTCCATTGAAACTTTGCGTGCAGCACTTGTTTGTTTGGGTCAGCAGGTTGCAGGCGGGCGGGCGGGCAGGCACTTGTGTGTGCAGTGGCGTTGTGTGGTGTTGCGCCGCTTTGTCTCATCATGTTTCTGGTTTTGTGGAAGTTGTTGGCATGTTACAGGCTGGCGGGCTGACTTTCAAGGGTCGCCTAATACACGGGCCTGAAAAACACCATTTCCCCCCAGTCAAAACTTTTGCTCAGAAGTAAGTACCCCGAGCCCATGACTGCGAGCCTCAGAACAGGCACAGGTGGGCCATGAGGCCACCTTTTCTTTGAGGCCTCAGAGCAGGACAAGCAAGCCTTCGCTGAGCTCCTGGGAGGCGCGTTTTTGCGCGTTTCTCCCGTGCTCAAAATGGCCCAGCATATATGAGGAAGCCATATATGAGGAAGCCAGGAGGGGAGGTGTTTTTTTTTTTTGTTTTTTTTTTTTTTTTTTTTTTTTTTTTTTTTTTTTTTTTTCGTAATTTATCCAAACTCCCTGTTTGATTGACACCAAGCTACCACCACATGTTACCTTTAACCTTGATCGGTGGAGTCCGCCTCAATTTCCCTGTTTGGAACCGAGAGAAAATCGGGGATTGCGGTTTCTCGGGCGCAGGGTACAAGTCGGTTCAAGCAAAATCGACCGCGGAGTCATTGACATATGTGGATTTTTTTGGGTGGTTCCCCAAACAGGGAACAATTTACCAGGGGTTGATTCATCATGGGCGTCCTTTCGTTTATGGCACTTTGTGACGTCTTCGTTGCCTCGATTGAGTCGAGCTGTCTTCATCTTTCGCCACCCCTGAACCTTCTGCTGCCACCCATTTGGGTGGCCTGCCCAAGCAAGCCGAAGTTGTGGCCTTCAACAAGTAAATGCTCTCGACCCCTGATTCATAGACCCCCCTCCCCCGCACAATTATAAATCGGGGTCCAAAGGGACCTCCTAAACAAGAACAAAACATGTTATGGTACTACTTTGTTTTAGCGGCCCTCGCAGAACCTCTTGGAACCCTGGTGGAACCCTCGTGGAACCTTACCTCAGGCCGCCCCGGACCACCCCGGAGCCTATCTGGGCTGAGACCCCAAAGCTTTCAGCTGTTGGGGAAAAACACACATAAGCGATCAGTGAGGTTGGATTATGCATGAAGCCCTTGCCGGGCTGTCAGGTGGCGGTGGCATGTCGGCGGTGTCGGAGGTGTTGAGGGAGCCCCCGGCCTTCTCTCCGTCCTTCCCGCGGTTGCCGCCGGTGGCTTGGCTTTGAAAAAAGATGGGCGGATTTGGGGGTGAGTGGTCAGAGGGTTCCAGCCTTTGTCAGGCAAGTTCGCTTGCTGAAGCGGCCTGAAATGGGCTCGTGGCACCCCACCTCTGGGGGACGGCTTGTTGATGGTACGGCAGAGAGAGAGAGAGAGAGAGAGAGAGAGAGAGAGAGAGAGAGAGAGAGAGAGCGAGAGAGAGAGAGAGAGAAAAAAAAAGAGAGAGAGAGAGAGAGACAGAGACAGAGAGAGAGAGAGAGAAAGAAAGAAAGAGAGAAACCACCAAACAAAACGGACGCCATGTCGGGGGGTCCGACTCCTAAAAGAAGGCACCCCCCAGACAATCCAGCTATGGGAGAGTGTACCAAAAACGCTGGATTTCCGGTGTCCGGTTAGTCAAACACACCCAAATGAGGCAACCCGAAGCACTCCAAAGCCATTGGGTTGTCAGGCCACGCAGACTTCTCCTGGCTTGGGCGACCGTGGGCCCGGCGCTGCTTAAGCCTTCGGCGTGGGAGGGTTCTGCGCTTGGATACTTCTGTCCAAATAGAAGAATGGGACGATAGGGAATGAATGCGAGAAAGTGGCTTCCTTCAACGGAATGCCCAGGTTCATTCCTTCATTCCTTCATTCCTTCATTCCCTACTGAGCACCAGCAAGAATACGGTGGATGGTTGCGAACAATTCGAAATCGCACCGTTCAGAAGCCCTGGTTTCTCAGTCGAGTCCCCTCTAAAATTACCAATAAGCGTTGTGGGTTCAACCATGGTTTGAAAGTGGTGCGGACGGCTTGCCATGATGTTTTCAAGAGTATGGTTGGTGGACATACATCCCCACATTGAGAGGGTGTCCACCAAAGGGGGTCGGCAAGCATCTTAGTAAGGAGACCAAAACTCCAGTCATTGCACTTATACCTTTGCTTGCAAGCTACTGTGCTTACTACAAGTGCCATTCCCATTACTCGCTTGCCTAAAGTGAATCGGAGGCAACCACCTACATGAGCATCAGCCCATAAGGTCGCCCGGATGGCTGAGGTTCCCTTTACCATGGACCACGCATTAAGATGGACCAGACCCACCAGAAACTTGTAATTCAAGTCGAGGGCCTTTTCCAAGAGAGGGAATTCCATTTTGCGGACTTCGAAGCGCACCATGGAGCGGCCGATTCTCTTTGACGCAGTGTTTCCCTTTTGGCCCCAAAAGTGCAATTGGTCCCCTTATAAGCCAGGGGTCTGCTTGGTTTCTTCTTGATCTCGCCAAGGGTTTCTTCATGGCAAGCCCTTGTTTCCATGGCTTCACCATTTTTTTCTCAGGGTTCTCCATTTCTCCCTCATGGTCTTCCGGTTTCCCCTCCGGCCAGGCTTCTACTACAGCTTCGGCGCGCCCGTGGACTTGGCGGAGGTGGACCCAAAGGACAAGGCGCGCGGAAGCGGAAGCGGATTAGGATGGGGCAAAATTACACCAGGAATTGGACCGCAGAGTTTAGCCCATGTTTCCATTTGCAAGGGCAACCCATTTTGGCGACCTATTTTTGACCCACAGCTTCTGTTTTTGGTTTTGCTTATAAAAGAGGCATGTGTCAATTTGGAGGGTATTTTTGGAGGATGCTTCAGAGTACCGAGGCATACTCCAATGGAGTGCATTGGAACCAAAAAATACGAGCATGATGACGCACATGATGAATCTGCTTGGAGCCTGGATGTACATGCTTTCATGGCTTAATCGTCCAAAAATAACATTTTGTTCCTTTCAGTCCTCTCTTGTTTTTTGCTTGGCCTAGTTTGGTTGGGTATCATTCAAGCACCTTCAACAAGTTTGTTCGGGAATTGCGGAAGACCTACTTGCGACTTGGATGTTGAGCCCACCCAGTACGGGGTAATTGTAAATGTGGTTAAATGTTTCCCATAAAACCGTTGCAGCTTTCTGTAGCTAATAAGGTTCCCCTACCCTTCCCCCGGATTCCACGCTTGGACCCAGGACAACATGATGTTTTGTGTTTTCCGGTTTTGTAAGGTGAGCATGTTTGGGTTTAGCTCGGGTCATTTTGGAGATCCCCTAGTGTATAGAGCATCCAAAATCAAGGGGATTTCACTTGGATCGCAGAGATGTCCTTGCGATCCGAGTTTTTTCTGCAGGAGACCTGCGATGCCATGTATGCCAAGCTGAAAGGCTGCTCGGAAAGAAGTCGTGCGTGCGCTGTGAAACTCCCGGTCGCGCTCACTGAGTTTTGTTTTGGTTTTCCTGCGGGGCTTGGGGGGTGGGATGTTTGAATACTATGAGCGAGTCAAGCCTTGAAAAGTCAAGGAGCCCACGCATCCAAATTTGAGGACCGTTGACTCCAGAAGACCTCGCAAAATGGGGTCTTGTAGCCCTTACCAGTTGCTTCCACCACCACCCAGCTGCTGTTGCCCATGCAATCCTCAATGACTCAAGCGCTGTCCAGCAAACATCCGATGGGCAGCCCCGGAAGCAACTGAAACCCAAAGGCCAGACCCAGCCACTCGCACTGAATGTCCCAGCCCCCGCTGCCCCAAGCAAGGACAAGATCAATTACCCGGCTTCCAAGTCCAATGTTGGCTGTTTCTGGACTCCTTTGAATGTTGCTTTCATGAGCAGTTCAAGCAGTTAGCACGTGGTGTTGGACATGGCTGCGTGGATCTTTTGGGACTGGATTTTGCTTGTTTAGATAGAACTCCGTTTTGGTTTCTTCTTCTTTTTTGTCGTTTTTTTTTTTTTGGGGGGGGGGGGGGTAAGTTGGAGCCAACCGTCAAATTCCGGTGTTGCTTGCCTCAAAGCTGCAACCGAAGTCACGTGCGTGTGAGCTGAAAAGTCAGCAAGCCTCCTGAATGGCTTGCAACAAGCCACTGACGCAAGCCCACCACCATCTCTTAACATGAAATCCAAGGCTAGTATCAGCATGTTGGCACATTTTGTTGCAGGGGTCCCTCGTTTTGACGCCTCCCGATGTGAATAAGCTGTCTTGCCTTGACAAGCGCTTGATCCCCAAACTTTAGATCCTTAGTTGACCAAACATCCTGTTACCACACACCACATATCCCAAACATCGCAGCATGAGCACTCAATAACATTCCTTTAGTAGATTGTGATATAATCACGGTTATAACTGGGGCAACCCGCCCCACAAATCTGCGCCGCTGTCCCCAAGAAAGCAGATGCCCAGTGCTTGGCAAGTAGGTTGGGTTCCCACGCTTGGAATCCGAGGAGATGTCGAAGCGGAGATCCAATGGCTGCAGCCGCCCAAGGTCTGTACTGAATCCGAGGTCGGAGGCCAGCGTTTGCCTGTACCAGGGTGCATTTGGGTGAGCAATGGGGTGATGGTGCCATCTACTTTCACCCAACTGTCAGGATGGCTTCTCGAAAAGCGTCCCCAAGGTTCCCTTGCCACCCTACCGCCCCAAAGGTTTGATGAGCACCCTTCAAGTCTCAGAACCCAGGCGGGACATTTGTTTCTTCTGTTTGCAAGCCATATGGGTCTATATGGGTCTGCGTTGTTTCAGTGGTACCCCTTTTTGTAGGTTCAAAGACCAAACGGACGCCCACCATTTTGGGGGGGTACCCCTCCCAAAGACAGCCGAGCCACCCAGGTTTCCTCCATGTTTCTGGCACACGCTTGGGCACCCAGGCTGGAGATGCGGGTCCAGGACCCGAACCGGGACTTCCTGCGGCGGCAAGTGCTGGAGCGGGTCATGAACCTCGACCCTGCGCCGCGGGAGGCGGGGAGAGCGAAGGCGCCAGGGGTGATTTTTGGCTGCCAGGGCCAGGGGGATGCTTCGATTGTCTGACATGAGTATGTATGATTTTCCCCGTCTTTGTTTTGTTTAAAGGAATCTATCACTGCTGGACGTGTTGGTTTCCAGGGGGCTTAAGCAAATGGAAGGTCATCAAAGTCAGAAGCTGCCATTTTGTGTGTTAACCTTCCACTTATTGGGTGGCTTTGACATGATGAAATAGTGAGGGTCAGAGGCTATGAGGTCGAGGTGATATTCCAAACCAGGATGAATTGTAGGAACCCAGACTTGCGATGGTTTGCCTTGCTCTGGCCATATACTTGGTGGTGCTAACCATGTTGGTCACAATCAATTATGGTTGTAAGTACTGGAGGTGAGTTCCCCTACAGCCACTACGTGGACGGACGAAATCCTGCACCACCAAAGAAACCCTGGAATGATGACCCCCTTGTAAATACCAACGAAGGCTATGGTGTCCAATTGTTTCAAGGTGGTGCGAAATGGATTTCGTCCATCCACAGCTTTGGGAAAACGTATGGGAGCCAGGAAACTTATTTCCCTTGACGGCGCCAGCGAGGTGAAAGCAGGGCCCCACAAGGGCTCCTTCGTTCGCTCCTGCCGCGCGCCAAGAAAGGATGTTTGGTGCCTTCTGTTTGCTCACGAAATGTGACCGCTTTGCCGTGCCGGGCCTTTTCGTGTGTGTGTGTGTGTGTTTGTTGTGTGCATTTGCCGTTTCGTTGGCTTGGTTGTCGTGGTTGTGTTTATTTTTTTTTTGGGGAGGGGTTGGTTTGGTTGGCTAGCTCCCGTCTTGTTGGTTTGTCTTCTTTGGCATGGACATCACCTGCTTCGTTTTGTCGCATTCCGGGGTTTCCAGCAACAGAATCCATGCCATGAACCACTTTGAACGGACCCCGCATCCTAGCATCAGAAACACCAGTCGTTTCCTCAGTCGCAAGATCTTCAAGCAGACCTTGGCCCTGCTACCCGAGCTGCCTGAGGCGGCAGGAGGGCTTCATCATTTCCGCTGTGAGCTGGAAACTGACCCCACTGCTGGGCGACTGCGCGCCGCTTTCTTTTCTGCCGGGCTTGTGCACCAGGCACCTCTGAGCAGCGCTCGCTTGGGCCCATGTCCGATGTGGCTCCATGTGTTTAGTTTGAACAGGCCCTCTGGCCAGGGACCTGGAGCTTTTGTACGTGGCACCCTTCCCTCGGCTTCCCGAAACCCGGTGAGCCCCAAGAAGGGCTTCCCTTCTACCAGGGCCACAAAAAACACCTCGGAGCCTTCCTGGGAGCCTTTGGGTTTTGTCGGTTTTGTTTTTCGCCCTTAGACGGCGTCCACCGGAGAAACAAACAAGCAACAAAACACAATACGGGCGTTTGACCCGGTGAGCTCGCCGAAAAGGAGGATATTCCTACGCGCTAAAAGTGCAGGATGTAACACAGTTGGTCCTTGGCTGTCAAACATGATCCGCTGTCCCTACTGCTTCTCACCATTCTCAACATAGCTTGATCCAAACTCTGGAAAGAATGCATTCGAGTGGTTTGCTTGGACTTTGGTCATCCGTAAAACGTAATGCGCAGGGAAACTCGACCCCAGGCAAGTTCACATGCAAATGGCAGGTTCCACCACATAAAACGGTAAAGGGACAAGCACATCCGTACTCGCACTCCACGATTTTTAACCCTAGTTTTATGACTTGGCCTCAGTCAGGTTGACTAACACAGTCTATTAGCATGTAGGTTTGTACTTGGGAATCCCATATTTGAGGTTGTGGAATTAGGCTGGAGCATTTGTAGGCAGGAAGCATCCGTTTGTAGCACCACATTCATCATCCATTTTGGACCAGTGTGGCATCCCAGTGTTGGTCCTGTAAACTAGGCCGGACAATGAAATTATCGCAAGAATGTTCACTGCAGATTGCAGTTCTAACACCAAACGCTGATATCTCATAGGGATTGAGTCGCTGCTCAGACCTCTTTTCCCCAATCTGGAGATGCAGCTGGAACAGCAAGCAGCTCCAGGTTTGCATGCAGGCATCGAAGCGCCGAGGCAAGCCGGCCGCTCGGACAGCTTCATCAGTTTGGAACCCCAAAGAATCAGAAGAGGGTGTCCTACTGTTCCCCTTCTTTGATCGCTGCAATCCCCTTTTGGACGGCCGATGTCAAGTCAATGTCCATACTTACAGATTGGGAGTTTGGGAAACCCCTTGCCCCCGTCCGGTTCCCTCCCCTCCCTCCTGTCCATCCGCCCTTCCCTTTGCGCCCCGCCTAAGCCAATGGCTGCCGATGCTTGGAATTGGCTGTTTTGCCAGCCTCAGGGCATGCAGCGTGAGCTGACGCCGCGTGGCCGTGATTTCGATCAAACTCCAAGTCAGGGAACCCAATGCGGTGGTGGATTCTTTGGGAACCCTTTAGGCCAACCCTAGACGCCTAGAAAGGGTATCCTCAAGCCACAAGTGGCAACCATGCGTTAGCCAGCCCATACAATCTGGCGGCTAGTTTGCGCCATGGTCCCGATCCTTATCACTGCCAGCGGGTGTGGGCAGTTTTCGAGGCGCGACCAGCGCGCTGGTGAGCGAGGGCTGTCACCCTTGACCCGATCAGCGCAACATGGCTCGCCAAAATGGGTCCCAGCCCAGATGGCGGCCAGTTGTTCGGACAACCATTCGGATAAGTCTTTTACGGGAGGCTTTTCTGCCTAGTGTCCGGAAGATTTGGAAATTCCTTGGTGTCGCTTGTGCCACCCGCAGCTTTATCAGACTTAGCTCCATCGCATGGCCTGGCCTGGCAGGCCTTGGAGTTGTGGTCAAACCGCGGGTTTCTCGCGGTTGGGATGGTACCTGCCAATGCCATCGCTTTGGTTCGCGCTTCTTTCTTAGGCATTGCAACGGCGCGAGATTTTGCGCTTGGGACTCCTTTGCAGTGGAATGCAAACCCGGCTTCCCGTAAAACAAGCATTGCAAGAGTTTCTTGACGAGAAGCAGGGGCTGAGACCGAAACAAATTCAGGCTTTTCCATGTTGGAACAGGCGAAAAATGGCCAAAGCCGATTGAGGTAGACAGTCGGACATGTGGGCAGTTCCCCAATTCAGTGGCACCTTCTCACTGGCTTGGCTTGTGCTCCCTGTAAATGGTCAAGCCCAGAGCTTCTCGCACGGGCAAGGGGACCTTCAAAGCCCCAACCCCATGGCTTGTTTCCTGTTCAGCCCACTTGGGGTGTTGAGGGTATCCGTTTTTTTTTTGTTTTTAATGTTGATTGCTAAGGGGAAGCAAAAGGATCCCCGCCATTTTGGGAAGTTTTGGTGGGACTATTTTGAATCACACCCATGATTTGCCAGGGTCAACTCCAAGAGATAAAGCGTACGCAATCTGTTTACCCTTGAGCCTTGTGGGAGTATATAGTCGGCTGGATTTTAGTGAGGTCTGGCCCCTATGAAAGCCCAGTTGAAATGCACACTTCGCACTGCACTGCCTTCCCAACAAGCCTGGTTTGGTGCACACAGATTACCAAAGCTATTTGCTTAAAACTAAGGGGGGCCTTTTGCACTTCCACCGCTCTGGGACGACCACACTATTCTCCCGGTGGGCTTTGGCGGAGTCCTTCCAGGCATTGCACGAACATAGGTTTCCGGTTTCAATGTGGTTCAGCATGGATCCCACTGGTTTCAGTTTGGCTCTTATTTGCCCTCCCGTTGCCACTCCAAAACGGACCCACAGGTGCAGCTATGGCGGAGGCCCCCGGCTTCCAAATCTTCGTTGGCAGCCCCTCGACGCAGTTGGCTCTGGTCATTTGCCTGCGATCTCACCCAAGATGAAGTCCTTTCTTGGGGGGAAAGGCGGGACGTGGCCCGGGAGGGGGCATTGCTGGGGCGGGGGCGGGGAAGGTTCCCTTATGTCTAGCTTGGGAATTATATAAATATACTTATAGGCAAGCTGATCAACGAGACAACGTTTGCATCATAAGTGCCCCAGTGAGCAGTGAACGACGACCAGACGATTGGGCTTCGCATGGTGCGGAAAGTTAGGCCAGGCAGGCAAACAACTCGTGAGGCAACATGCCGTGTGCCGAAAAGGGCTCTGGGAGCTCCGCTGTGGATGGCCCTTGGGAAGTTGAAAGGAGACGCAGAGAGAGCTGCTTATGACAACGCGCTTCGGGGTTGCGTGGGGTTGCTGCACACGGAAACCCGAAGAAACCCAAGCCCGGGAAACCTAAAGAAACCTAAGCTTTTATCACTCAGCCTATTGGTCGCTGCAAACTCTGAGGCCTACCCAGTGACATCACTGAGGAGGACGCATTGATTTGCAGTGCCCGCTGGGCTGGGGCCGCTGGATGTTCAACCCATGTCGGGCCAGCAGGATAGAAACATGCTTCTATCCGGGCTAAGGGGGACTAGCTCCCTTATAGCTATAGCTACGGCCTAGTTGTTTGAGTGCTAAATTGTCTCTTGCCCATGGACTAGCCTCAGAGGGCCTGCCTCCAAGTAAATCGATGCACGGCTGAATTGGCGCCTGGCTGCCCCCCTTGGCTCGAGCGAATACAAGAGGTTGGTATCCTATGTCAGGCATTCCACGCAGGTTACCATTGATTGAGTTCTTGCGTAGCTGGGTTTTGGGACACTTCAACGCCGCGATGCTGGTTAGCTTCGGTTCGGTTGAGCTAAGCACGTAGGAAGTGAGAATTGTATAGATTTGCAATCCAGCCAGGAGGTTCAAGTAGAAACCTAGAGAGGACATACACATAGAGGGAAGACCGACACGAAAAATAATGAATCGCACCAGGTAAAACGAGCAAAATAGGCTCAGGCAATGCCCCCAACGGCATCACGCCCTTATGGGTTCCGTTTGCGATCAGGAGCTCCAATTTGTCTTCAAAAGCTATGGCAAGGTGAAAAGTCTGCGGCTCAGTCTCAGGGCTTCGCCCTCATCCACCTGCCAGGGGTTGAAGCCCATAGGGCGGTTCCCAGCCATAGGTCTTAGACTTTCCGGTCTTCAGAGTTGGGCCTTTTTTAATCTACATCCCAGGAAACAATGAGCTTTGGCTTCGCTACCCGCCGCAACCAGTTTTGCAGTCATGACACGCCTCACCGTTTAGCTTGCATCTATTTCATCTATTTCGCTCAACTCTTCCTCATTTCTTGTGTGCCTTCGGCAATTGATTCGGTGTCTGTGGCCTTTTGAGCCCTTGGCCTGGAGATTTACCTTCTGGCCCTTCCTGGGGTTAAGCTCTGGACGCTTGGAGGGAGACTTGGGCGTCCACGTCAGGAGCAAATTGCAACCATGGGTTTCAGGGTCCAGTTACCCCACATGCCCCAGTCATAAACATGGTCATAACTTTCTACTAGGCGGGGACATCAACATCATGGGCGACATCAAAGTACGGCGGGGTTGATTTCTTTTCGGGTTGTTCTAACGGTAAACCAAACCCATGTGAATCCAAAGGAGCCGAAACGAAAACACATCTGATAGTTTCTCGCCTTCCGAGACATCCGGATCCTGAAGCCCGAAGACCGCCAGCCTGGCGTGATTTTCAGAGTGACACGCGGGAACAGCCTCAGGGAACGTGCTAAGGCTGAGGAATGTTTGACATGGTTGCGGAAGACGTGTTTGTTGGGTGATGTTAAAGGAATCCCGTTTGAAATACCACTGTCACATGGGATGACCACAAGAAAGGGTCATTTCCCACCGTGAATCCCAGATTTCCAGTTGTTGGTTTTGCTTGGTAGCTTCTGCACATTGAGGTCTTCACGCAGGTGTGCCGCGGTCAAGACCTTCGGGCTATGTCGGGCCCAAGTTGGTTTCGGCAAAACTCAGCTGCTCCAATCGTGGTTACCCGGGGGTTTCACATTGGTCATGAGGCTGAAGGCCATCCCTTGACAAAAGTCCAACCACCAGTGCTTCAGACTCAAAAAAATAAAAATAAAGTAAAAAAAGGAAACACAAAAGAACAGGAAAATAAAAAAGGGGGGAAAACAGGACGTTGGCCGAAGCTCGAACCCTTTCTGTCAAATGCCAGTTTGAATGCCTGGGCCTT